TTTTGATAGAATCGCATTATACTATAGAACAAGTTCAACAACAACAGAATCAACTTGGTGTGACAAGTAACGATGATGTAAACAAGATAAAGACCTAACTATACGCATATTCTGACCAGCCTCATGTGAGAATACACTGTTTGGCTTATTTTTCAACCAATCAGTGCTAGCAGAAGAATATACAAGATTCTTATGGTAATTCTGTACATATGTGGTTTGGTTTTATTGAAGAAAATATTAATTGCTCAATTCTTGTTTAGACTTAGAAAGACTTGAATGAAGTATGGTGGTCAGGGAATACTAGACAGTAGAAGAACATAATAACGAAACTTGATAAATATATTAGGAATCATTTAGAAGAAAAAAGAATCAGTCAATTACTCTCAACTCAGAACCTATGAAATAAATATGCATCAGTGTAATTCTCGTTATACATTAAATGTGTGTATAAGGAAAGAAGATCAACATAAGAGGTGCATAGGTAAAGAGAATTAATTAAGAATTACGATGAAAAGCTGAATTTAAGAAATATAGTTTAAAAATGAAATCAAAGAAACTGTATTAACAAAATGTATTATGTTTAAGTTAGGTCAGTTAGAGAGTTTGATTTTCCATTCGTAGATTACTCAGATTTCTATCTTATTTGACAAACATTCTTTTAGTTTAAGTAAAACAATAAGTAGTATCATTAGTGTGTCCAATTCCTGTACATATATATCCAGTTGGTGGTAAATAAGTCAGAGGAAAAGTTGTAATTAAAATAGCCATGTAAAATGATGAACCTGGCAGAATTGTATGCCTTTAAGAAACGCTAAACCTTTTGATATAAATACATATGTACAAATACCACGTAAAGGATAAATAAACCTAATTTGGAGTCCTAGTTAAGGAAACTTGTCTTATTTGGCACAGGGTTCGAATACTGAAAACTCCTACATGTTGTTTAGAGCTGGGTTTTAGGAGACCAGGAATAACGTTTCGTGTACTCGAATCGTTTGCAACGCCGGCTCTAGGTGACAAGCGAATGTCAGAGAGGCTTGGGGGTGAGAGAGAAATTATTAGGTGCAGAAATAAGTTGATTGTAACCAGTTCACCGTTACCCACACCATGGAAAGATATTTCTTGAAAGACGTAAAAAATAATCCGGGTTAGCGTTGATCTTAGCATAGCGACGGAGCCCAATGGACAACTGCTTCATGCTGGCTGTACAGAGAACTTTTGTGGGGAGTTTTTAACGTGTTAGCTCTGCCCTTCAAAAAGCCTTACCACTAGAGGCGGCATTCATGGGGTGAGGTGATGTGCGACATTTTTAGAGTCGACCTTTTCTAACCCCTTCCGTGTGAGAAGGCAGCATCACTGAAGATGCTGGATATTCGAAGTAAACAACCTGCTGCTGTCACAACTCTGTACAGTTAGTAGTACGAGTTCGCCCTCAAATCTTGAGTTGTTGCTTTTAGTATTACCGTTCTCAAATCGATCTGTTTGGTATGGTAGTCGCTAAAGGAGCCGACACAGCTCGATTGGGTCATCACGATAGGCAAGCCCGATCACCATGTCAAGGTAGAAGCTACGGTCGGGTGCTTACTTGTAAATATTTTACACCAGTACCATCCTTTGTAAATCTAACTAATTTCAACAGTATTTGATTAGGATATTCAATGATAAAATAACCTTGTACTTATATCATGATAGACCTTATGGACCTATCGTAGTCATTATTGCTTTTGTTGTTCAACACACTCTGTGCTTCCGTTTTCTTTTCCCTAATCGTAGATTATTAAACTCCATCAGCTTTGTGACACACTGTGTCTAATAAATGAAAAAAAAACACATAACACTTAAAGTATGTCAACAAATAAATACTTCAACCTTGTAGATTAAATACTATTAGGATATAGATTATGCATAAATCATTGTCGTTATTCTCAAATATGTAGAGTACGTGTCTCATACAAGTGAAATAGTATTAATAATAATAATAATAATTTTTAAATAATACAATGCATATTTAATGATACTTGTAGAATAAATTATTAATCTCAAGAGAAACAATTCTATTCAGCCGTTTAAACATCACAAGCGAACACACACGTACACACTGTACACTCGTTGACATTATACATATGTATATACATATATAGATGCATATAAAATATACACTTTCACTGTGAAAATTTAATTATTCCATTCACATAACAAGAATTTTACCGGTTATCATCAATAACAAAATAAATTCAATATCAAATAGCTAAATTGATTTTCAGTTAAATAGGAGACAAAAAGAAATCATTGAAAAAATAAAATAAAAATTACCATCAGCATCATCGTTCCTGTTGAGTTCAATACATTTGATGTGAATGAACAAGGGGCAACAAACATTAATGGGAAAAAGAAAATTGAACTGATTTACGACGAAATGCCCATTTCTCATCATTACACCTCACACACACACATGCACACACAACAATCCTAGTTAAAAGAAAAATGAACTATTTTGTAAACAACTAAAGACAAATAACTAATCATCATCATCATCAATTTCGTGTTGATGCAAAACTAATAATCTTTAAGGATTCAAGAAAAAAAAAGAAAAGAAAGTTTTTTTACGCTTATTCCAAAAAAAACGAAAACTGTTTGTTAGTTTACAAAAAAAGAATGTTGATAGCCTACTGTGATTAGTAAAGAAAAGTAAAGTAAAGTAAGGGAAAGATGAGGAGAGTAGAATGAAAAAATGCGCAAAAGAAGCATCAAATTGATGAAGGAAAAAAAACTCATTAGTCAAACAGAGCAAATGAAAATTAGTGAAGTAAAACGAAGTAGCCTAGATTTCAGAAGTTTTCTAAATTTAATAGATAAAAGGGAATAAGGAATTGTTCTAGAAACTTTCCTCAACACACACGCACATGCACACACACACACACTTTCAATTTTATTCTTTACAATTTTAGTTTGTAAGTCTACTCATATCAATCTAAAAATGAATCAACTTAATTAATTAATTAAATAATTAATTAATTAATACTAAGCATATCAATAACAATCAAACACGTTTTATGCATAGATTATATATCATTTCAAAGGAAATTGTAGATATATATTACATTTTCGGAAAAAAAAGTTTCACAAAACTATCGTATATTATCTTATAATCTCTTTTGTTTAAAAAACGCAGAATCTCATATTTTGTTTCAGTAATCGTTTATTTTTTTTGAATGATCTAATCTGAATATTTCAGAATATTGAAAAACTAGTTTTTTTTCTTTAGTTACTGATTTGTAAATAAATACACTTTAATATTTTTAATGATTATCAAAATATATTAGGATTCTAGTGATGAATGGTGGATAGAAAAAAAACACATTGAACATATCCTTATGGTCACTTGGGTAGCCGCCACCAGTAGAGAAATGAATTTTGTTGAGTTTCTAGTGCAAAGTTGTAAGTGAAATACACAGTTCCACAATTTCGAAAGTGAGACAGATATCGCTGTAAGTTGTAAATACATATAATTGGATAAAAACCCCAAGGTACTTTGTAACATATTGTGCTCTGTTTTACTGATAACCTAAACTAACTTATTAAGTAATCATGATATTCATTGAGAGGGATTAATTAACTGTGCTATGGTATACACAAATAAGTGCAAACCACATTTTTTTAAAAAAAAGCATTTAAGTCTTTTTTTCCTTATATATATATATATATATATATATATATATATATATATATATATATATATGACTGAAATTACATACGCTGCGCGAAATACCACAGTAGTTGATTCAATGACAACACGAATATCTAAGATGTGCAATGAAAAGCGTAGTTTGAAATTCATTAGGTGGTCTGGCTGACTGAGTTTATGAAAACCAAGACGATTTATCATTAGCTAGTTTTAATCGTTTATGTTCTGTAATTTTATGTAGAATAGTAAATGACAAATTCAGTAGCACTTGTTTTCAATTATTAACAACAATCAACAATATCATTTATAACAGAGGTGGCTAACAAGCAAAACCATGCGACAATATTTCAATCTAACTTATAGGATTAGCAACATAATGGAAAAGGACTTAAGTTCATATAATCTACTTGTATGACTTATTAAATGAGTAACACTGAAGCCAACATTATCTTTTTATTTGATATGACACAAAAAAATCTCATTAATTAAATGCTCCAATAATTATTAACTGCAATGGAATTAGAAGATGTGAGATAATACTTCCATCTCTCAAACTAACTTAGTAAACGAGTGCATGTTGACAAGTTGATTAGTTGTAGTTTTAGTTGGCAAGATACTCTGAAACTAGGTATCCTACTATCTAGAACTCATAAATGAAGTAAACTGTCTAGAATCATAGAAAAACCAAAACTCTCAGTAGGATTAGAATAGCGACCAATCTCTCATCCAATCTCCAATTTTATCGATCGACACCCGATCATCAGTAAGTAAAGGAACATACAAAAAATAAAATTAGTCATTATTACTCATTAATAATCTAAAATATAAGCGTTCTTGTAACCAGATAAGTAGTGTGTTAATAGCTGAATACTAGATTGATAATAAACTCTATTTTAATCACAAAATAAAGAGCGACTATTGTCATTCTGATAAAACTAACTGATAAATTAAGGGAATTTTCAATATATATATATATATATATATATATATATATATATATATTACATATAACAATCTCAGTCAATTTTCAAATGAATACAATATACAAATGTTATTGCGAGAAATTGGCAAACTTAATTAAACATTTTTCTATGAACTGCTTTAGTAACGTATAATGGGACAACATAGTAATTATTAGCAAAGTTAAACTGAAAAATTATGGCATTTAAAATCCAATATCCAATAAGTAGAATATTATTTTGAAAAATATCAAGGAGAACATTATATGTTTATAGAAACAATAATTTTTTTTTAGAATGAGAAAGAATAAAATAAAATAAACTATAAATGAACGATATAGTTATATTTCACTTACTAACATAGTAACTAATTCTTCTCTACGTTTTGTTGTAAGTCCACGTTCAACAATACCATTTAAATTTTCTCTATGAGAACGTGAACGTGATGTATGATTGACATGTGTTGATAATTGACCATTTACAAATTTGTTAATATTATTATCATTACATTGTGAATGTGATATACAACCATTGGGTACACTTGTTTTATGCAAATTAACTTGATCCGATGAAGAACAGATTGGTAGACGTTTTTTATGTACATCAGTGACACTAGATGACTTTTTTATTAAAGGAGCTATTTATTCATGAGAAGAACAAAAAACAGCAACAATGAAATTAAGTTTTAGAGATTATCAATGAGATTTAAAGAAAATAACAACGATAATTTACAATTGATAGGTTTGAAATGGCGCCGGTGTATTTATTCTTTGTGTTCTGTCAAATCCTAATCTTCTGGATTCTTCTACACCTCTAGTTTTGTCTTTCTAAACTTATCTCACTGAATCATACTTCTTGAATAATATCTTCTAATCCTAACCTCTCCGATTACTTCTAATACCTACCTTTACTATCTCTACTACTATTGGATTTGAATTGACAATTACATCTGCGTGATAATGTGTTACGGCAACATGAACTGATGTACTTACGTACGAAGTTCTATGTTGCACCTGACTGACTGACAACTGACAAGTTATTTATTGCACAGTGAACGATGTTATGTTTGTTTAGTCTTTGATTGTTAATAGACGGTTGATATCTAAGAAGTTCATATTGACTACTAATCGATGACTAGGCAATAGTGAACATCTCAGTTCTACAGATTATTTGTAACATGAACAGTGTCAGGGTAAATTTTCGAACTGTGAAATTTTACAAAGAATAACAGTTTTTGTAAGAATCTATGTACACTTTACTGAAAACTGTAAATGAAGACGTAAACTATGTTCAACGTTTCTTTTCAACTATATGCAATAACTTAACCAAGAATTAACTGTTTCATTCGCTAGCACTGTAACGAAAACATGTCACTTGAATGTTACAAAAAAAAAGATGGATAGTGTAAATGTTTCACGTCTATAATTTCAAGTCAGTTTTTGATGAAACACATTGGTTACAGAATCAATTAATTTTACTACATATTTTTGCTTGAAAATCATTCGGATAATCTTCTAACTGATTTGTCCCATTTTTGATCGATTATTACTTATGAACATTTCTACGGTAGAATCCTGCTAGGTTCAGGAGTCATGGATGAGCACTGCTGATGAGTCCCACAACTGGACGAACCAGCCGTCCAGTGCTTCCAGGTCTCTAATGGTGGTCTAGCAATGCTTGATTGATGATTTCAGTGTGTAAAAGCACTAATCTCCATAACTTTAATTGAAAGAATACACTATGTCTATCTACACTCACTCAGTGTCGTGTTAACAATCCTCGTCTATTTAAAGTGGATTGACTGGAGAAATAGAAGTAAACACACTCAAAAATTAAACAAACAATTGTGAATTTATGATTCATGGACACAGTTCACCCGTGTCTAAATACTAATTTCGCTCCCGTTTAATTTAAATAACAATACAATTGACCTAAACACAACGTGTATGGTTATAAATTCAATCAATTCAAGTTACGTAATAATATTTAAAATATTCAAAATGCTTTTTTAATAATATTGACAACTATACAAAAGGACACAAATATTTTGTTTGTTGATTGAAACACGTAATGCACTTGCTCGTAAATATTTTTTGTCAACAAACAAACAGGCACAAGTTATTCAGGTCAACCAGTCGTTTATCTGATGAATAAACAAACATTTATAAACAAAACCTTAATTGACCTCAGTTCATTTGAAATATATTAAATGTTCAGATGTTGGAAACATAGACATAGCTGGAGTATAAATTGTGTATATACAATAATTGTAATCAAAAATAATATCTAAACATTTTTGGATATCTGGTTACAATAAGACAAATATTTATGCTCAAAACAATAGTTTATATTAAAATCAACGTTACTAAGGTTCAATCATAGCAAGTTCTATTTGCATGACAAAGTATAAAAATTTTCAATCTAAGATAATTTCGACAGGGATAGAGAGCAAGTCAAAGAATCATATTAATTTGAGGTATTTACACAAGAAATGATATTGTCTAGGGATTAATGGGACATCACAGCACTGGACTTCCACGTCACACTGAGCTCGCTCATCAAATTATCTTGACAACAGAATGTCAGAAGTACTATACAGGAATAGGGCAAACAATATGATTGTTAATTATTTAGAAGACATTATATATCACAAGGTACAACACAACACAACACAACACAACACAACACAACATACCTGATACGATGGATGGTGCAAACATAGGCAATTTCAATTGACTAAACACATGATAAACATGATACAAATAAATTATCCAATCAGAATTGGACTTAGGACAGATTATTGATTTTTTCTGCTTATACCCAATAGTATGACAATGTTGAATAGGATGAATCATATAAGAATCTGATTTTAAATTGAAATTAATTGAAAAATGCTCAGATAATAAACTACAAGCATGTGTTAATCGTGAATTATTTGTTTGATCATCCGATCGTCGTCGTCGTCTTCTGTTACTTTCATCAATATTATAATCCATTTTATCAAGTTCCAGTCGATTAATCAAATCCGGTAATAATTCAGGATGATAACGATGTATCAAACATAGAAGATTACGTCCACATATCCAATTGGATGCAGTTAAATCATTGACTGGATCAATCAGACCACAATGCAAATATGAACTTAATCGAATTTGAAACCATCGAAGGAGAGTACTTTCGACAGGATTTAAATAGAAATTTCTCTGTTCAAAATGCTCTGGTTTTAACCAGTATTTATGTATTGCAGCTTGAGTTGATAATGGAGAATCGATACCATTTCTTGGCGATAAAATATCTTCATGTACATTAATATCTTTTATATACAAATGATTCACTTGTCTTGGACTGATAAGATTTAAATCGCAACGTTGATACCTGGTACAATGTAAAAAAGACAATACTTAAAATATTTAATTGACCAGTCATTGAGAACTACTATGCAGTATTTATTCCTGAATTCTCAAAATATTTACATCTTAAAGTAGAAATTCAAACTAATCAAATGTAACAGCCTCTAGTGATGAGCAAAAAAACTGATCAATTAGTCAATATATCTAATCATGTGTGCTTATAGATTGGTTATGAGAGATGTATATGGTATTTGATAGCTAAAGATACTAACAGGTTTTTTGTCTGATTCTTAGAACATTACACAATAATGAATCGGTCATACTCTTTATTGCATAATAGAGAAAGTTAAGAAAGAGAAGTATTGAGTAAGAAAATAAGTAAGGGATTTATGGATAAAAAAAATTAGCTAAATAGATCCAAGAAAGTGAACATCAGTAGAATTTAGAATGTGAGTTCCGTTTTAATATGGGACTCGTTAACTTAATGCAGACTTCTTGCCTATGCTTAATATCGATTACTTAATTAGGAGACTTGTTTCCGATTCTAACGAACTATTGATTGATCGTAGTCACCGTTTTATATATATATATATATATATATATATATATATATATATATATATATATATATATATATAAGTACTAAAAGCAATTTGACTACCGTCGGTATTCAGAAATGAATCACTCAATAAATTTCATAATTTATAAACTCTTTGAATGAGCATCCAGACACAAATTTCAATAAACTTGTTCTTATTTAAACACTGCTACCATTTTATCTATTTTTCCTTTCTTTACTGAAACATAAACTATCCAATGCTGCACACATTGAAACATACATACATACATACACACACACACAAAGGTAAAAAGAAAATACCAAACTTATTTTTAACCTGGCGCCAACTGACTACAACATGCAATAGTCTCAATGTGTGAGAAACAAAAGTTCAGCCGACAAAGGTGTGATAAAGTCAGAAAATGTGTAATAAGAAAAAAAAAAGAAAATTAATCAGAAATGCAATTATTTTCACATTAAATAATTATCAGTTAACTGAAATAAAAATTAAAAAAAAAGAGGATTGAATGCGCGATAAAAACAACTGTTCATTCAATTTGATAACAGAGAAATTTCAATCATCATTTGTGTTGTTTTAACTAGTGATCAAAGATATGAAGTAGAAAGAATCAAATTCACATAGGATGTTTGTAAATCGCTCGAGAATAATTAAATTTTAGAAATGAGCTATTTTACAAATCTAAGCTTCAGACTGTGTATGCATAAGTTTTATGTCTGTTTGATGTGAATTTTAAAGTACAATAATCTGATAACAGACAGTAAAGTACAGTGATATAACATACGGAAGAAATGAGGTTGATGTTTCATAGACGATAGCATCGTAGTTACAAGTTACCATATACCATAAAGTTAACAAACTGAAGCTGAACACATTTATGTATATAGTAAAACATATGATGATACAAAGAGGCAATAAAATGTAAATAAGCTAAACAGTAAGACGGATGATAGTTCTTTACAGCTTCCTTTTATATTACGACAACATGAATTAAAACTTTGTATCTGATTTGTGTGTGGGTTAGGATACACATTGGTTCGAGAGACTGGGGTAAGTGGTTTTCTTATGGGGCCACCTACTGGAGCTTTCGCAATAGAGAAGTAATCCCGAGGCGGTGGATCAACGTAAAGAGATACTGTCCCATAGTAGACGGTGACCAATAATTGGTTCATTTTCCAATTGTCCCCCTCAGGACACTGGGGCTTACGTGCATCATTGGTTTGAAATTAGGATTTTCCAACTATCCTAAGTGGCTCCTCCGGACCTTCGCTTTTTGTTCTTTCAACTTCATAAACAAAGCTCCGCAGAGAGAAAGTAGTGAGTAGGACTTCCCTGACAGTGTTTATATATGGGTAGTCATATGAAAGAATTCAGAGTAGAAGAGAGAACCCCTTACCTCCGCCCTCTGCAGAAAAAACAGTCCGGATGCAGAGTTAAATCAAACTGTTGGTTTAAATTATATTAACATATGAAAATATAATTCATAGTAAACTGTACAGCCGGTAAGATCGTGATTAAAATTGTAATCTAATACAAATCCTGTGTTATAAATAACCACTAGTATTTTTCTAATGTTGAGTAGTATGTTCAAAATTCTTAACGTAAACTAGACTGAAGGATTTTGACAATTTAATAATTGAAAACATATATGGAATAAAATAGTAAAATATTTGAACAATTGAATAAATATTAATTTTGCAGTTATATTTCCGATGAAAACATAACAATGGCAACAACAACAACAACAAACAAGCTAAAAATATAATAATAACCGAAACAACGTAGTAAACAACATATGCAATGCACAGAAAGACAAGAATAACATGGCGAAGTTGAAAGGAAGTAGTTGTGAATAGTGAATAAATAAATACTCCCGTAGAGACTGAGTATCATAACATGGTGAGTTTTATCACGAATTAATGTCATCATCAGTTGGAGAACGTGCAAAATTTTATAAACCAATTGAATGTGGAATTCTAACTAGAAAAGTACATCATAGAACGACAATAGCAATTATTGCGTTCGACTTCATGTGGTCTATCTAAAACTGTTTACATCGTTCAAAATAAACAGTTCACTTTACTTTAAAATGTATGTAGTGTAAGAGAAGAATCTAGACTGGTTTCGGCAAAATTCAAACCAGTTATCTACAAAATAACTGAATCACTAGTTTCTTCTTTTATTTTTTTACAACTTATAAGATTCGATCAATTCAGCATTTCTTTTGTATTTCATTCATTGAGTAAATTTCAATTTAGTGAATTAAATATACTTTTTAATATAAAATTAGCTGTCAAATAAAGAGAAACAGACAGAATGAACGAACAAATTGTCTAATTTTAGACTAAAAAAAAAACCACTTACTAGTTTCATTGAAATCAATAAAAAGATTTTAATAAAGTTCAATGGGTTTTAATTACCATTGTTTCCGTTTTGAATATGATAGTATTTGAATGAATAGTCATGTTAACCATAATAACGTATTGAACAGTTATTTCATTCTGGTTTATAATTTATTTAGCATTCCATACACAGATAAAACCTCAAAGCGAACAGTAGATTAAGTCTCCTGAGAAGTAAGCATAATATCTTTAAGGAATAATTTCATACAATTCCCAAGTTCAATCAATAATCATCAAAAATGATTAACTGTGTATCGTACAGAAATTTCGTTAGATGACACTGTTTTTAAATTAAAAAGCCACACATTGACGTGGATAATCAGGAATTTATTTCGAAAGAGTTTTTTTTATTTATAAATATTTATAAATTTTCATAATGTTTTGAACTAAAGCAGTACACATATGTATTAGATTCTACATTTAGCTGACGGAGAGATAATAACTAGGAGCATATGTAATACCGCATATCGCATATGTTCAAGTGTTCATGTGTTTTACAAAACATGCTAGCTGTATTAATTAATCAACCTAAGGAATAATATTTCGATAGTTAAGTTCGGTTTACCTTTATAATCTAGCCAGCTGTGTGTTACAAACAATAACAAAAGGTTAATTCACTTATTATAAAGTTTCCCTTATAAGTAAGTGAAATCGTTTGATCAGATCAAAATCAACTAACACTCACAAAGATAGATTTTGTGATCAAGATTGTCAATAGTTCTAGTTGAGAAGACGTGACGAATGGAGTTCAATCCTGTCGGGTGTAGGCAGTAACTACCAAAGATAAATGGATGAAGTCGCGCAAAAATCCGTAGATCAATCAGAGTTAGACATTAACACCGTTGGATGCCGGCCCAGTGGTTCGATGGTTAGGCGATCGCACACAATGCCGAAGGTCCCGGGTTCGAATCCCGCCAAGTGCAGGAGTCGTGGATGCGCACTGCCGATGAGTCCCATATCAGGACGAAACGGCTGTCCAGTGCTTCCAGGTTTCTAATGGTGGTCTAATTATAACTGATTGGTGATTTCAAATGTGTAAAAACACAAACCTCCAGAACTCTGCCTGAAAATAGTAATTTAGTTTGTTTGTATCGAATAAAATTTAAAATTCCAACAGAGATAATCTTTCATCAAGTGATTACGATAAACGTTATCGGATGAGGACGAGAACACATGATAGACAGAAATAAGCAGAGAAAATAAACTGAACACAATAAAGAATTTATTATAACATGAAACATTTTGAAATTGCTTCAAATAAAGGTTTGTTTCCTAGATATGTATGTATCAGTTTAAAACCAAAACAATACCTACTTCAGTAATGAGTGAGATATAAAATTATGTGTGACTTTCTAAACTTGACAGAATTAGAATTACAATCTGTTCGTTTATTCACACACACAAATTGTAGAGTTAAGAAAGTGGCCAATACTATGTGAAGTTTGATAAACCATACACCACATAAAATCAAATGGGCTGAGATAAATTAATACAGTAGTGTTGAGTTAGTGCGACATAAATTAGATTAAAGCATGATGGCGTTGCTGCATGCTGATAGGCTCTTTCGCATCAAATCAGCACCATTCGATATTAAGGCAATATTCCAGAATCTTCCCATGTAAGAAAAATATAAATATACTAACGTCTTTTTCCTTTGGACCTTCTGACTTTCATCTAACCTTTGTTATTGGAATATAATCTATTTCCTGTGCAACCATGTTCTAATTTGGGAGAACTTCTCGAGTGAATTGGTGTCCGAGATGCATTAGGAATAGCTGGGTTGTAATAAGAGAGAATTATAACATGTTGATTCAAAAAAGGTACTCTGTTTCAATAGTTTACTAGGGATTTCATTTTTTATATAGAGGAGGGGATGGGGAAAATGAATAGAAAGTATGAATATCACTATTAACCTCTCTGTTTACAAATTTTAATCAAACAATTTTAGTCTGTTTGTTTAACAAAAAAAACAACCAACTTCCCATTGATAACTCACCTTGTCATAGGATCCAATGTATAATCATGATAATTTATTGGCATATTCTGTGCAGTTGTTTGACTTAAATGTTGATAAACTGATTCACGTTTTGCAATCACTTTCAATGGATGCATACCAGACGCAAGCAATGACACTGACCAGGCAGCGTCAAGTGCAGACATAAAGCCCAATGCACAGCCACTACCAGTAGGCCAAAATGGCTAATAAAAATATGAAGAAAAAAGTATATATAGGTATATAGTGAAACAAAATCGATAGTATATCTATGTGCGTGTGCGCGTTGTGTTTATGGTGCAAAAGGAAAATCAAAAGTTGACTGACTTCAAAAAAAAACAAACAGCTAAATACAATACTAGACATAATAATATTATGTAAGTAAAAAGAATTTTCAAATAAAATAATTTGAAAAATAATAATTTTATTGGAATTTTTACACATGGAATCATAAACAAAGAAGTACAACAGCAGCATCCAAATGAAAATACCTATAGATAGGTGTGTGTGAGTGTATAATTTAATATATGAATATATGGTAAATAAATTTTATTCCTTATTATTGATACATGAAAACTTTCAAGGTGAATATTTTCAATGACATGTTGACGTTGACTTCAAAATGACTATTATTATTATTATTATTATTATTATTATTATTATTATTATTATTATTATTATTATCAATCATTAGACTGCATGAAACATACAATTGGTTTGGTTATAGTATACACACACGTCTAGCAGAATATTTAATTCATAAAGTTTGCTAATCGATAAAACTCTAAAAAAAAATAATGACAACTCTTAAAATTCTTGACTTTATAGTTCAGGCGATTAGAACAAAAAACCCAGTAAATATGAATGTATGATGAAAAAAGAGAAAAACAGTTTTCAAACAAAAAAAAATGAAATAGTTTAAAATAATCATACCAGAATAAAATCGTTAAAATACAGTTATTGAAGTTACTGTAATAAGTTCTACTCATTTAACTTGAATATTATTTGTATTAAATCAAAGCCTAAAATGATTACTAACCTTAGCAATTAATCATTGTCATAAAATTAACCCTGACAAATAGTCAGTCAGTCAGTCAGTCAGATGCAACGTAGAACTTTGTACGTAAGTACATCAGTTCATGTTGCCATACCACATTAGCACACAGATGTAATTGTCAATTCAAATCCAATAGTAGTAGAGGTAGTAAAGGTATTAGAAGTAATCGGAGAAGTTACGATTAGAAGATATTGTTCAAGAAGTATGATTCAGTGAGATAAGTTTAGAAAGACAAAACTAGAGGTGTAGAAGAATCCAGAAGATTAGGATTTGAGAGAACACAAAGAATAAATGCACCGGCGCAATTGCAAACGGTTTTGAGCCATGTCATTCAGGGTCTCTAACCATCGATTATTATCATCTCGCGGATCCCAACCAGGTAGTCGACAACTACCGACATGACAAATATCACAAAGAAATATTGTTGCATAACGTTTTTGTTAGTAGTAACTAATTTTTCACAACTGCAGATAAGTGTTTTCATTAAATACCGGACATTTTGTAGGTTAGTTATTAGTTTCTACTTCATTCAGATGAATTGTTATACAAAGACTATTCAACATCTTGCATTTGATAAATGTACTGTTTCATAGTTGAAATCATGAACTGAACTAAGCTAGACCACGATTAGATACCTGGAATGATTTAGTATGAGACTCTTTAGCATTGCGCATCTACTCTGGATCTTTAGTCTCGGGCATGAATGTCGAACCTTTAGACAACAGTGCTGATGTATAACCTACATCCACTGCCAGGGAGGATACCTTTCTGCTTCCTGACACAGATCGAACTCCAATGGTCACGATTTATCACTAAAACTCCGGTAATACATCATGCAGCTCGTCGCTAATGAGCACATGATTATTATTAATGCAGAGAATCTGTGGAGATTTGATTATTTTGATAGTTGAAATCATGAACTGAGCTAAGCTAAACTACGATTAAAAACCTGGAACCATTGAACGGCCTTTCATAGTTCTGGTATGAAACTAGTATAATCGCCATAAATACAATTTTACCTTACACTGTGACTTGGTCATTCATGATTGGCTCATCGGTACAGTTACACTGAATTCGATTGTTGTCTGAAGAAAAATACACTTAAACCATTAAGATTATCAAATGCTAAATGAATTCAACCAGTAAACTTTATTTCATCTCGACTATGTATTCAAACTGATCATCAATTAATGGGTCAACCACCAGCTGAATTCCTAGTTCATTAGAAAATTAATGTTAAAAAAAAAAACAAAAACATGCATCAACTTGTTTAATTTTAATCGAGTATCAGTGTTGTTTTCTTTTTTTATTGTAAGCGATGATGTGTCATTAATTCTAACAATTTACTAATGATTCTTTTATAAGCCATATCGATCCGGATGTTTGATTGACTAACATACTCTGTTTTCTAATATATATTGAAATGAATCATCACAGGTATTCTATTTCCTGCAGTCATTAAAAAATTAATTTTTAACTTGTGATAACAATGAAATCATTCTCGAATATGATTAACAATGAATTTTTGGAATCAAACTACCAAAGAAACACTAAGTATATTTTGTCACAAACACACATACAAATCGAATTGTTGTTCAATGCGGAAGAAGAATAAAGATGAACAGATTTGTACGGATTAGACGAAAAACCCAAGTTTTAGTGAATGCTGTTAATCTATGCACTAAATAAGGAAGGTATATACACAATTGAAAATTGGATTCATCATGATTTTATAAACAAGTAGAACAATGAGAAGACGTAGTTGATCTGAAAAATGTGATGTATCTGTGCTATATACATTTCAAACAATCTGGTCACACATATTTACTTGTCAAGGCATTTTATATGAAGACTAATAATGTAGTGAATGAGAACATAGGTGGGGCAACCGAATTTCATTTAACGAAATTACAGAGTTACTCAGTAAAATCGGAAAATCATATCGTAAATCGTTCATTTGCAAAATATCAGTTCATCATATCGAACTGGACTGTTCCTGTTGCAAAACATCAATCCATTGTCACTATTCATGCGTTTCATACAAATTCCATTGTTTTCTAACTCTTCCTTTCTTGATCTTCCCGCGTCTTCGGCTGCCAGACATTACGTTGACGCTCACGTCATATACTACTTATAAGTAGCTCACACGACAATAAAAGGTCAAATAAACATAAGGTGATAATTGTCATCTTCATATAACATGTCTTAACAAGTAAATCTGTGCGACCAGATTGTTCGAAATGCATAGCGCTAATACATCATATCTTTCAGATCAATTACGTCTTCTCACTGTTCTATCGACATTTATAAAAGGGACTAATTGTTTTTTATAAACAAGTAATTGAATTGTCTATTATTCATAATTCAAATACGAACATAATGATGTTAATGAATGCGTCATTGAGTTTTTTTTCAAAAATTCCTCATTTTATTGTCGTCTTTGGTTCGAATGATGACGTTTCACTTCCAAACTGAAGTGTGTTACAACTTGACTTAATGCCTACAGTTTAACTACTGAACTGATCTTCATTAATGAAAGCTAGGATATGTAGAAACAGTTGTTTCATTATACTTTAGGAATTTCTTACCAGAATACTTTCATAATTCCATTAATAGGGATCAAACCCTGGGATTTAGGTTACACAAGCGAACCCTTTTAGCTTCTTATGTTTCGATTGAAATTTGAATCATGAAAATTTGTTGGAAAGAGTGAACGAAAAAGATACCTGACAGTATAAGATAGAATGTGTTAATACCAGTGAGAAATATATTGGGTAGGTTTTGTAATAAAAATATTAAAAAGATGCCAAATAATTGAAACAACTTTTTTTCTATCCTGTTTTACGAAACAACAGATATATATATAAACAAGTTAAAGAAACGTTGGCTCACATAATTCGTTTGTGCAGAAATCTATTCGTCTAAATATAGATTGGTTTGATATTCATTGCTGTACAAGTTTAACAAAACTATTTTATACAACCCACCTACTACAGCAATTTAATAGATGCTTTCTGAAATCTCGATCAATTTACTGAATTGGAAAATGATCTAAGGATTATACACACACAGGAATCCTTACAACAATACTTTTGATGCAGTTCAATACTACTTAGAATAAGTTGTTTAGAAGTTGACTTTAAACCAATGATAAATAAACTAGTCTTCTGAGTAAAGTTTCGAAGAAAATTCTCAGTAGAACAGTTGTATTTGTATGGTATAAAATGGATATTAGGTGATCTTCGTCCTACCATAAGACCATCGACTCTTTCTCATTTGTATAATGCATTATAGCCACCCTATAAGGACATTTTCTACACAACATCATACCGATTGTATGATAAAAAAAAGTGAGATTAATTCTTTTCAATTTTATGGAGAAGTAAACAAGACCACCATTAGAAACACTGGGCGGTCGTTTTGTTTTAGAATGCCACTCTTCAGCGTTGCGCACCCATAGTCCTATACGTGGGAATCAAACACAGGGCCTTTAGTCTCGCTCGTGAACGCTTAACCTCTAAACCAATGAATCGGTATTCGATTGTGTTCATATCTAACTTCAATCAATTCATTATAATTCAATCTGCATTATAGCATTACATTAAACCATGATAAATATGATCCACAAATAACTAACAAATAATAAATAAAACTTACTTCATATAATCCATCACCAATAAGACATTGTAGTAAAAGACAACGATTTTTTTCCAATATATTACATGAATATTCCGCTGCAAACATTCGTGTAAAATCAAATATATCCACATCTGGTTCACCGTATGAATTCAATGCAAAATCTAAACGTGTCAATGCTCCATTAGTTACATAAGAAGCAGTTTCTCTTGCATAGGCTTGTAAAGCTTTCTTATCCACATTGTTTTTACTTAATAAACTAATTGAATCTTCTCGATCCTTTTGACATGGGACGTTGATAATTGTTGAAAAAAAAAAAGGATTTTGAAAAAGATGAGCATAAGTAAGTAGACTACATAAATGTGTACTACAAATATGAAAAAATAACAAAACTAGAATGAAACAGTTATTCAATGCTTCCTGGTTTCCAATGGTTCTCTAGAAAACAGTTCATGATGTACATTGGGAAAATTAAACAATCTATTCTCATAGCAATCATGTGACTGCTAGTGATTAACTTCAAGAGGCGATTTCAGAAGTACCAGTGAGAAACCCTAGCTAGTGGAGTACAACTATGTTGGGTGTATGACAATTGTCAACCGTAAACAATAGAAGATGGTCGCGGAATATCGTGAAATGACTAGCGTTAGATATGTACACCACCAGATTTCGAATCAGTATCGTATGAATTAAGTATTCGTCAGTTAGACCAGAGGTCCTGGGTTCGATACATACCCACAGTTAAGTTCCGTACGGAATGTAAAGAGCAAACCAGTGATTTCTAGTTTCCGATGGATATATTCATAAGAACAGTTGGTGATGTAAACTATGAAACATAAATCTAACAATTTAAATGAATAAATGTAAGTGGTTATTATTCCCTAATAGTTATTGATATTGTGATCAAATAAATAATATATTCCATTTGGAAAAAAATTAGTCATGAGTAAAATAAGTAGTATGCTATTGATGACCATTGATAATAATGAGAAGAAAATGTTGAAGGAAACAACCAATCACATTCACTTTTGTTTAGTTTAGTCTAATACTTCCAAATTATGTGTTTCACAGTAGAAATTGAATGATTTTTAGTCAAACTTCGTTTAATTTGGTGTTCAAGGTCTTGTTTATCACTTAAAAAACCGCAAAAATATACTCCATCATTGCAGCCAGGAATGTTGATTATTCATTCGTACGTGACGTCTATTCTAAATCAATTAAAATTAACATTGTGACCTTTCATACTAATATATTGAGTGTATTACTAGACAAGTGAGTTAACGTTAAATGAGTATCTTAAGTTGTAATGTGTAAAGAACCATAGAAAGTCAATACACACACGTGTATTTCATCACATTTTTTCCTACGATGATTACTTATCGCATCATACTATATTTTCTTATTATAATTTAGACCAAATATCTGGAAGTAGCAGAAACTATTTGAATTCAAGCTAAAAACTAGAATCTTAGCGTTAAACAGGCAAATTCCAGCAGCTACTGTAAATCACACAATATACAAACGATGTTAAAAAACTAACATCAAGTCCTATCATTCGTATATCAAAAATTTTATACAGAAGTCAGACTACTTAAAACTAATGAAATTTCAAACATCATGTTAAATATGCCAACATTTTGAGCAATTAAGTAGTATCACTATTCACATAGAAAATACATATGACATATTCTAGTACACAAACATGTATATGTATAACTATCTATTCAAATTATTATTATGTATTCTTCTAAATCTAGTCGAAAATAACTGGAGTTAAACAATTTCACTGACTCAAAATACCAAACTAGTATATTAAATTTTAAGCAATGCTAAAGCATTTTAAAAATTTTATTATTAAGGAAACATCATCATTAGCGATGTCATTCATATATTGAGCACGATTACATTTACTGGAATGTAATGGTCAAGACTGGAGTAGATCAAGCAAGACTCAACTAAGTGATTTCAATAGTTGAAGATTAAGTATGTTATAAATTGTCACCTTAACTCTATTAGTATTCCATAGGTATGGCATGTACTTTGCACATTTCAAATGCGAAGTACCTTTATAAAACTGGCAGGATCCTGAATCTGCACTCACTCTTAGTGGTGAGGAGATAGAAGTAGTCAGAAAATTCATGTACCTAGGTAGCTGTATAAATGCTGATGGTAACATGAGTAAAAAATGAATTTAGGTCTAGTGAAAGCTAGAGCAGTTAATGACAATCCAAGTCATCTTCGGCGGCTCCATAATGTTAGCCTAACTGTAAAAGGTCGTTTATACAACCCATAGGTAAGATCAGTTTTGCTCTATGCTGGTAAAACCCAATCTCCGAGTTGCAGATATTATAAAGCTTTGAGTGGAAACAACACGTTAGTAATGCAAAGATTTGGCAAGGTGTGTGTTCAGATACATTCGGTGTTACCATCTTCAAACACCGATTTTAGTGGTTCAGATTTGTCTTCCCAGTAAATCAGACAGCGTGAATCATATATATATATAGGTTCTTACTTGTACCAGTATTTATGTGTTTAAACAAAATATAACAGAAGTGAAATTTTCGCTGTTTACAAAACGATATCATGACAAGAAAAATAGAGATGGATTGACAAGAATAGAATACAGTCTATCAAGTTATGATACAAACAGTAATTTTATACGACCGAATAAGAAGTTCAAAACGGAAAACAACATTATTTTTATATCTATGTGTATGACAGTTAAATAAGCAGTGAAAAACATAAATAAGAGTGTATAATAAGGAAATATGTTGTAGAAAACAATAATATGTAAATTATGAAGATGATCCAATCAATCAATCAATCATAATCAGCATAGACACCAGAAATATCTGGTTGTTAAATTAGATTTTTTTTTAAAATTAACAACAGACAAATATTTAATCCAGCAAAATAGTAATAGTAATAAAAAGAAAAAGAAAACATTAAATAGAATTTTGAAACAAAAGAACTAGTTGCTGAAACGAAAGGTGACATTTAAATGAGCGAAGCGAAAACAAAGCATGGTATAAACCTTGGTATGTTATTATAAACAAATAACTAATAATTTAACTGTTAAGTTTTACCAAACTAGAACTATCAAAAAAAAAATAGGTTAGATTATTAGTTTATAATACACACCAACAAAGTAAGCAACAATGCAAGCATATTCGGGATGCGATTCACCCCGTCGAAATACATAATGTTGTTTCAGGTTTGGCTAATATCGGCATCTTGATTAGTGATAGGGAGTGAAGCAGTTAAGCGTATTGACCGCTTCAATTATATCGGGAGTCTCATCAGTGCTGATTGCCCGGTGACTAACGAAATCTCAGCACGGATATAGAAGGCTCGATTGGCTTTTGCCAACCTGCGTCACTTATGGAGTAGTCAAGATATCCGTTTACTAATCAAAGAATGAGTGTACTGCTCAGCAATTCGCTCTGTCCTACCATACAAATGGGAAACATGGCCGGTGAGAGTTGAGGACATTCGTAGGTTGCTTGTTTTCGATCATAAGTGTCTCCGAAGCATTACTCGTATATCCTGAGACTATCCAGTAAGCAATACTGTTGTTAGAAAACGGACACTAGATAATGATGGCAGGTCAATATATGAATTATTGAAACTTCATCATTTGAGGTGGTTGGGACATGTGTTACGTATGCCTAACCACCGACTGCGATGTAGGAACAGGTTGGAAGAAAGCTAGGGGCGACCAGACCAAAACATGGAACAAATCCATAAAGTCACTGACAAGTAGATTGAGTCATGTTAATAGGTATCGGCTACCTGGTTGGGATCCGCGAGACCAAAGTCGCCGATGCTTAGAGACCTTGAATAACATGGCGCAGGTGCATTCATTCTTTGTGTTCTCGCAAATCCTAACCTTCGGAGTCCTCATCACCGTTATCTTTATCTTTTTAAGTTTATTTCACTAGATTCTACTTCTTGAATAATATCTTGGAACCCTAATCTTTCCGATTACTGCTAATACCATTACTACCTCTAGTACTATGGGATTTGAATTGACAATTGCATCTCTGTGCAAATGTGGTATGGCGACTTGAACTGATGTACGTACGTACGAAGTTCTACGTTGCTGTTTATTTATTGAATGAAATGAGTAGGTTAATCACATGTTTATTGAGAAATAAACAACAACAATAACAACGACAACCACTAATTATAACTAACAAACAAGAAGAGAGAAGAAAAACTTTTCTCATGAAAAATTCAGCTAAAAAATGAATAAACCATTCACTACCCAAGTGATAAAATGCTCAAGTATGAAATCTGGATTTAGTCAACTTTTTACGTTTTTTTTACTGGGAGAACACGTTTTAATCTATCCGATTTATATAAATATTATAAAGTTTTATTCAAAAGCAATAATTAAGCTCTAAATGAATTTAAGTTATTTAGAAAAACAAACCATTCAAGATGTTTTAAAATGTTACCTCATTGAGAGTGATGCAGCTTCTGATATGTAAGAAATGACAAAAGGATTATTCGATAGGAAATGATTATATTTCCCATTTGTACAGAGAATAGTAAATCTATGATATGTACCATGATTTATATTCAGTTAAACGTTTTATTAGTACAATACAATTATTTTTTGTATGACAGGTTTGTACAGATTGATGAATTTTCACAGTGTGTATCATGGATTAACTTTAGTTAGATAAACAGGAAGTGCTTGACCTTTGATTCCTCCTAGTACAGAAAGTTCTTAGCAATGCCTGTCTACTACACCAATCAGAGATAAAACCCATGACCTTTAGGCCTTAAGGTGAGTGATTAAATCTTAGACTATTAAGTCAGCATTTACTGGTTGGTATTTGCACCTTTAAAAAAATGTCAACTGTAACTATGAGCTACTACTAAACATAAGTTATTTACAGTAAACAAAAGTTGTTTACAGCAAAAACAAATTGTCTTTGCATAAAAATAGAATGATAAAAATCAGACAAACAAAAACCACTATTATTAGCTGAATTCCATAATCCAGTCAGTCTATTGAACTTACTTGTTTTAATACACCTTTTGCTAAAAGACTATGCTTTTTAGCTGTCATAACAAAATAATGCGTCTCATCTTTATAATAAACAATATTCTCCAAATCAATACCAGTATCTGTGGCTAAACGTGAAAAAAATGATTGATTAAAGATACGAGCAACACCGCTAATCTCTTCAACTTGTGCTTCAGCTGGTGTATGATAATTGACAAAATTCACTGTAATTGCGATAGCTAAACGACAACGTAGTTCTTTACATGGAAAACCTGAAACATATAAAGTGATAGTATTAATATAAAAAAAATTTTGTCAAAACAATCGAAATTCATAACGATAGATTTTGATAAGATTTTAAAATGAAATTAGTAAAAGCAATAAAACCAATTTCCTCTATTCTTAACTAGTTTAGTTCCAGACATTCGGACTTTCTATTTGAACTTCGAAACAACTACTTCTAAACGAATTCTGGGTGATTGAATACAAGAATAATGTTTAGTTGAAATGGTTTTATTCAGATTGATCTAATTTGTAGGTTGTATCTATCACCGATTGATTGAAGTCAGAATAATAAGGAAAGTTGGGCAGCACAGAAAACAGGTGTTTTGTCCTAGTTTAAAACTCTTCAGAATTGTACGCCAACAGTGTCAAAAAGGATTACTATAATGGGAAAAATATTCAGAATTTCGGAACAGTCAAATCTTAAGTTTTTCTTCAGATATTTTTCGTATAATTATTGAATACCTAAAATATTGCGCATTTCCTTACTTTTAAACCGTTGCTTGACATACAAACAGTTGTTTTGTATTTTGCTTGTCTCAAATTACGATGTGTGTCTGTGAGAAATGAGTGTATCTGCTCGTATTATGATCAAGGATGCATTGTTAACTGATCACTTGACTAGTATTAATCTTATGCATAAGCAGTGAGAAAAGAAGACTAAGTTAGTTAGAAACAAGGTAGAACTTCGTACCTACGTACATCAGTTCAGGTTATCATTCCACATTAGCACAGAGATGCAATTGTCAGTCCAAAACCCATAGTAGTAAAGGGTTCTAGAAGTATTATTGGTAGTGAAGAAGGTTAGGAATTGAAGAATGATTTGAAAAAAATATAAACCAGAGAAATAAATTCAAAAAGAGTAAAAGGTGGTGAAGTATTCAGAAGATTAGAATTTGAAAGAGGATAAAGAATTGACGCACCTGTACTATTGCAAACGATTTTGAGGCGTTCCACTCAAAGTCCTTAACTATAGGTTACTATTGTCTCGTTGACCCCAACCTAGAAGTTTGCACCTAGTTGTAAGAGACTTCATGCATTTATGCCATGTTTTGATTTGGACACTTCTAGCTTTTTCCAGCCTACCCCTACATCAAACAACATTGCTCATTGAAGCAGTCAGTGATTGGGTGTACGTAACACATTCCCCAATCACCTTCAATGGTCGAATACCAGTAACCTACTACTATCCTGGATGACGACCCAATGACTGACTATTGAAAAATATGATAACTAAAAGTATGTAGTTCAACTTGTCATGAGGTTATGGATGTACATTATTGAGTTTCATATTACAAACTAAGCAGATATTCAATAATCCACCAATTTTATTATTTATTAATTGAGTCTAATGAACAATAAGTATGATAGTATTGACGGAGATTACGGAGACAACACACAGCTTATATGATTTGTAATCTGGAGTGTAACAGTAATAAAAGTAATAATAATAATAATAACTCTAATTCAGATTGTTTCATGAACTTTTAATTATTTTTTTACTACTATTTATAGTACAGTTGATTCTAACATTGTGTTAATCTCATTAACTAGTTTGCTTACTGATAGATCAATGTAACTAGTAAACATAAAATATAATATTATGTTAGTAAGTGTTCACATTTAGTGAATTATTTAACAACTGAATAATCATATGTAAATAATGATATAAATAATTTATTTCACATTATGATAATCAATCTAATAGAAAGTTTCATCACATTCCAATTTTATTCATTTTAACAAATAAATATCAATCAAGTCTAGACAATGTAATAATGGACAGTTTCAAAAAGACACTTTTAAAAAAAATTAGATTCAAAGATTGATATGGTCATTGAAGGACTGAAAAACTTAACAATTTATTAAAGAAATGAATAATCAATGCCTAGTTAGATAAAGATTGATTAGATAACTTTATTTCAATTTCACAAATGATTGAAGGCGGAAATAATGGAATAAATATGCACGTATATATATATATATATATATATAGGCCTACACAAAACCTGCACACCAAATCATTGAGATGAAATAAATTGCTTGAAACAATAGAAATATTTAATAGCTTGTTCGAACTAAATAGATTTTAACTATGGCTTATCACTAGTGATGAAACAGATGATTAAGCCAGGCTGCATGCACAACGATAAAACTTAAGTTCAAAAAAGTGTCTGTACACGTTAAAATTATCAATCAATCATCGTTAGATCACTATTAGAAACCTGGAGGCACTGGATAGCCGTTTTGTCCCGGTATGGGATTCATCAGCAGTGCGTATCTACAACTCCTGAACCTCGCAGGATGCGAACCCAGGACCTTCGGTCTTGCTTGCGAACGCCTAATCTATGTACCACCAGGCCGGCGTCCAACGGTATTAATGCCTGACTTTGATCACTCCAGGGATTTTGCGCGACCTCGCACATTTTTCTTCGGCAGTTACTGCCTACACCTGACAGGTTTGAACTCCTCTGGTAACGTCTTCTCGCTAGAACTCCGAGAATTTCCACGCAAAGCTAGTCACTAGTGAGCACATTGTACGATTTTTCCAAATAGAATAATGAAGATCAGTATTTTTACACATCGAAACCATCAATGAATCCTGCGAGTTGCAGGAGTCGTGGATCCGCGTGGATACGACGATGAAATAGCTGTCCAGTGCTTCTAATGGCGGTCTAACAATGATTCATTGATGATTTCAACGTGTAAAAACACTGATTTCCATAACTCTAATTGAAAAAAGGTATTGTCGAATCCATTAACTGGTGATCCAATATCAATAGGACAGCTGTTTAGATTCACTTAGTGAAGGAGATACTAAGATCAATTTATCTAGCTTCCTATTGATAAAAAACAATTTTAACTCCGAATGATAACAACGATATAACTTCTGAACTCATATTTTCTGAATGATTTTTCTTGTTTTCTGATTGATAATCAAAATTTTAATTTTGGCTTTGATTCAAATTTGATGTTTGTTTACAACATATGCATATCCTGAAACTTGAGTCTTGATAATCTCTTATCTTAATACGGTATGGTCATGTAGCATCAACGTGTTCACATTAGACCCCATCGTTACTAGAGAAAAATTTTGTAACTGTAACCTCACTACTAATCATGTTTTTTTTTTAAAAAAATTTGTTTCATTAAGGGATAAATGAAACTGTTAACACGTAAGTTAATCGCCTAGTAATAAAAAAGGTAAAATTTATAGCTCATTAAAAACTTCAGTAGTCAACTAATAGTCATTCAATAAAACAAATATATTATTTATTTTCTAATTAGCAATTAAATGAAAATATACAATAACTTGCCTAAACAACTACGTTTACCATCAGCAGCGATTAAAACATCAAAATGAAAATTTCTCAATGCACATAATTCCGGTTTTAATTTAGCTCGCCAACCAAATCGTTTAACATTTTCTTGATAATATTCTTTATTTTCTTTATCAATATTTGTATAATAGTCTGTGACATTTGGATCTTTACGTTGTAACGGAGAATGATGACGATGACGATGATGTTGATGATTACCATTAGATTTATTGATAAAATTATTGATTGTATTAATATTATTGTCAGTCATATGCTCAATATTTACATAGTTTTTTTCATGATTATGATTTAATAAACCATTTCGATTAGGAATATTCAATGATTTTGTATTCAATTTGGAATCATGAAAGAATACAGGTAAATCTACAACAGAGTAAATGAATTGTTCAATAGAATAAGAAAAAGTAGACATAGAACTAGGAATTTATTAAATTCATAATAAATCTAACAGAGAATCGAATTAAAGCATACAAAAATAGTAGTGAATTATATTACTCAATACGATTTAATGCATAGGTAAGAATGTTTAGTGAAGCTTGACAGTATTCGCCCGCTTTAAACCTTACTCCAAATCTGAACGCTAAGTTTTCGAAGTTTGTAACTAGAAGATATATAAAGCATTGGATCACAAGCGATGAAAACCCTAATGCTTAGTTGTAAACCCAAATCAGAACTAACGCCCAACTATTAATAGCTGGCTATAAGATGGTGCCAAAAGCTCTTTGGGTTGGAATACCCAAACTCATAACACTAGCCCAACTCTTTCACCAGAAGGAATAATTAGACATGTGAGGATCGATTATTCCACTGCAATTTTACTGCTTTTCCCAGTCAATCGTTTTGTAAGTAGAAAGCGTTTCCTCATTAGCTGGTAGGTAGGTTTCTTAAGGTTGTTAGGGCATTACACTTGCATTTTATAGACCCTGACTGTTTAATATCAAAAGATTCTGAATGGTAAAATGATAAATCATGACCAACGGATGTTACTGAGAAAAACGCTAGAAGGTGAGAATACTGAACACTATGTTGCATACTAATACTACAGTCATTTTTTAATACTGTAGTAACACGTATCACGGACGAATCCATTGAATATCAATACGATAACATTCAAGGCAAACAAGAATAAAGTTAGTTAGTTAGTTACCAATCAATCAATTATGATCTGTAAAAATTGGGCACAATGAGAGATCCCTAAAGTACACATAATACACAACACCATTACAAACATATATAAATAATAATAAAAAGAAAATGAAAACAGTACGTACAAAAAAAGACAATGTGAATACTACAGTATACATTGTAGTATATAAAATAAAGTAAACAAATAAGGACAGGTATCAGTCACGCGATTTCGCTACACTAGAATAATAATTGTTAATGCGACAAACTTCAATAATGGAATGTAAGAGTACATAACAATGGAACACAACTGTGAATATTCAGGGTTACAATAAAAGTCGAGTTTATCAATAAAATGCTTTAGATGCTCATTTTCTAGTTTTGCGAGAAAGCTGGAGCTGGAGCAGGTCTTCTGAAGAAACACGTGTATATGATGAACAGGAAAATAGAGATATTGACAGTGAGTAAGAAACATCTTTTCCTGAAGCTACAATTCAAAGGAGATACAGCTAGTGAGTGACGTGCTAAAGGATAAGTTACCTGGTTTACCACATCCATGAGTATCTACAGCTTCAGGTGAGCTTGTTGAGAAAAAGCTATATTGGACGTGCAGCCGGGCAACTGAACTAAAGTTATCGGACACTTCCCTTTGTGGTTAGGTAAGGGCTTGATCAAAATAACTTGCAGCTCATTTCTGTCATACTTGATCGATCGCGGTCATGAAGTAGACAGAAATAATTAATTTAAAATAATTTATCATGTACCTACTAATTTTTCTTATGTGGTTTGTTTCGTCTCCCACATATAAGAGGAGCAATTGAGATTACAACCACGAATTCATAAGAATTCCGTAATATATCTCCCTCTTTTCTGGTCTAATCAGCCTTCAAAAACGATCTTAATTGTTGTCGTTATTTTTCATACTTGTCCGTTCGCTTGTTTTTCTCACCACCTTTTTTCAAAATCACGCCTCACCATACAATTATCTGAACATTTCTTATTCAATAATCCATAATTTTAATGAATGTTATTCCAATGTCTAGTTTTCCAAGCTGTTCGACCTGCTACCACCTATTATGTAATATTGATTTAAGCTTTGATTATTCTTATAATTATCAATTGGTACTTTTTAATCCATTGCTATCACTGACTAATACATTTGTCTTGATAGGTTTGATAAATTTTGATAGAACAGTGAGAAGACGTAATTGATCGGAAAAATGTGATGTATTTGCGCTGTACATCTGGTCACACATATTTACTTGTCAAGGCACCTTATGCCTATTTGAACTTTTATTTAATTGACCTTTGATTAATCTTCATATAAAATGCCTTGACAAATAAATGTGTGACCAGATTGTTCGGAATGTATGTAGCGCAAATGCATCACATTTTTCAGATCAATTTCATTTATGTAGATAAATGTAATTGTATATTAATGGCTGATAGAGATTATAATAGGAAACATCATTGTTTGTTGATACATATCGGTCTAGTGAACAACCTTTGACAGTGGCCATCTAGTCAACACACATACACTTGTATTTAAATGTACAGAGAAAAATGCTCTAGACTACACAATACACTAGAATACACAATACAATATACACTATTTACATGTACCAATTTAGATTTTATGCTTAAATAATCTCATATTCAATCAGCTTGTATTACTCATAATAATTTTGTGGGTAATAAGTAGAGATTTCTATCTTAGTGGAATGTTACAAATTTATTGATTTTATTATTATTAGTCACACATTATGAAGTCACCTTTTATCTTAAATCGAAATGAAACACTGTTAATTCAACTGCAATGTTATGGTACACCTAGTGAATAAGTTTTTTTTTCATACACTGGATTTCATTTCATGTTTTTTTAAAAAAAAACCTCCATGTCAATAGTGCTGATGTGTATATTGAAGCGTAAACAAATGAATACAAAGCAAAAAATTATTTCCACTCATTACTAATCTTATTTGCTAAGGAGCCATACAGAAATAATTTCAAGTATGAAAATAATATAATCCCCATAACTACTCTTCATAATATATTAGTTTTTATGTCCACTTTATGAAAAGGGAGGAGAGATGTGTATAATTCTTTGGCCTTAATGACTCACTTTGTTTTAGTTTTTAAATCCGTTACTTGCTATTATGATTGGTTGTGCCTAATAAATGAATCATAATGCGATAAGGTTTAAAGATACTCATTTGGGCAACGAAATGTCAAAAAAGAAAATATGGTCGAGGTAGTATCAATTGCAGTAAACTAACTTATTAGCTCCTTCACATTAACGTTAAAACACCGAGCGTCTATTTTGTCTAACAAGCTTAGTCGACTGTGGATTAGTCCTTTATTCTAATGACATTGATACATTGCGTATTTTATTACTTTCGAAACATTTGTGGATTGTTGTGTTATGGCGTATGTTTGATATTGTGTTAAAATGTAGCTGCTTTCTTATTTATTGAGTTGATAAGCGCCACACATAGCTAGGTAATTTTGATTGTGGATTCAATTTCATGCTTTAAATAAAGTGTTTGTATTTAGCGTCCAGCATCATAGAGTTGTACTACACTGAGTTGTTTATAGCAGATAGTTGAAACATACTTAAAATGGTTGGATAAAAATCTTTAAGAAAATCAAACTTAAATTAGCAGTATTCATCTACTTAATAAACAAAAACTAGCCCGAATCATCAAGGTTAAACGCAAATAGTCAACATCAAAAATGTTCCAGATAACCTCATCAGCTTTTAGCATTTTCACAAGTGTTATGGTTTCAATGAAGTTTAAAGTAACAATAATTTGTTTATATTTTCTTACGGATTGTGACTTTTTAAAAAAAAAATATTTCAACCTTTTTTCTTGAGAATCTAACCTATTATTTCCAGGAAGATACAGGATTACTAACCGATAATGCACGTTAAACATAACGTTAATAAGAGTAGCTTTTAGAAAAAGTATGATTCACAAGAGAATGTACATGTAATTAGTGATATCCTACTGAGTTGAACTGGAAAAAATATTACAGAAATTAAAAGTTTTAGCCATTGTGTTTAGGTCTTTGACCTTGAACATTTGTGAAATCCATCTCTAGCGTCACACACAACATTCTGATGGATAGAAATAACGGGACAGAATAGAGAAATACGCTTAAAGAAGTATACCAATACTACACAACTATTGAAATATCTTTTACTATTTAACATATACTACTCATACAAATTAATAAAATTTGAGCTTCAATGATGATGTCCTACTGTGGTGTGAGCTACTTATAAGTAGTATATGACGTGAGCGTCAACGTAATGTCTGGCAGCGGAAGATGGGGAGAGATCAAGAAAGGAAGAGTTAGAAAACAATGGAATTTGTATGAAACGCATGAATAGTGACAATGGATTGATGTTTGGCACCAAGAACAGTCCAGTTCGATAGGATGGACTGATAATTTGCAAATGAACGATTTACGATATGGTTTTCCTATTTTACTGATTAACTCTGTAATTTTCGCTAAATACAATTCGGTTGCCCCACCTGTGTTCTCGTTCACTACACTACTACCACCTACCAACGAATATTTGTTTAAGTTAAACTACCGGAGATAAGATACATTTTGCACATGTGATAGAATAATCTAGATTAAAAAATATATTATTTAATGCCTATGAATACAAATAATTTCAAGTTGCATTTGTTTTGTAACAATTATTGATTACAAATTTACTGAATTACATATATGTTACATTTCTCGAAAATGTCAATTTTATTAATCCTTTTCATAAAATTATACTTTTTAGTAATCGTATGCAACAAATCAATCAATTGTGAAAAAAAATATTACATGACACTATGAAACCGAATTTGAACATGTATGAAACAAATCTAGAATATATGAATAGAAACATTTTTACAGTGTGTGATTAAACATAAATGCTGTGAAAGATCAATGCATTAATAACGAAAGGAGATTAGTATAATGACTAATGTTTTAATTGATTGGAATAACATCGGCCATAAAAACTGACTTAATAATATTAATTTTTCGTTTAGTCAGTCGGTTAGTCAGCTAAGACGTAGGACGCCGTATGTATGCACATCAGTTCAGGCTGCCATACAACATTAGCATAGAGAGATCAAATTGTCAATTCAAATCCCATAGTGGTTGGTGTAGTAGAGGTATCACTGGTAATGGAGAAGATTAGGGTTCGAAGATATGACTGAAGAAGTATAATCAATCAATAAACAGCAACGCAGAACTTCGTACATACGTACATCAGTTCACGTTGTCATACCACATTAGCACAGAGACGTATTTGTCAATTCAAATCCCATAGTAGTAAAGTTAGTAAACGTATCAGCGGTAATCGGAAATTTTAGGGTTCGAAGATATTATTCAACAAGTAGAATCTAGTGAAAAAAACTTAAGAAGAAAAAGATGAAAGTGATGAGTAATTCAGAAGACGAGAATTTGAGAGAACACAAAGAATGAATGCACCTGCGCATCGGTTACTATTGTCTCGCGGACCCCAACCAGGTAGCCTACATCTACCAACATGACTCAGTCCACTTGTCAATGACTTCATGGATACGTTCCATGTTTTGGTCTGGTCGCTCCTAGCTTTCTTCCAACCTACTGCTACATTTTCTTTTATCTTAATATTTTGGAAGGAAATTTATTCTTTTAGTTAGTGGTTTCATTGTTTGGAATTCGTTCATTGAAAAAATCACGCCATTGGATGAGTGTAGCAAACACTCGGGTAACTTCGTATAACAGAATTTCATTTATCAACTAGCATTGGATTTATGCATCTGCCAATCTAAATACACGTTTTATCAAATTCTTCTCAAAAGGAATAAATAATTCAATCTGAATATATAATCACCATTAGAAGATGGATGTATATCAAAAGTTGAGCAACAATAATTGGATAGTATTGTTATTTTCATAAGATTTGTTGATCAGTTAGACAATCATGATCAATGTAGAATCTGCTACATCAGTGCACCAGTTCAAGTTGTCAGATTCCATTAAGCCGCGATGAAATTGTCAAGGAGAATCCTACAGCGGCAGGGGAAGTAGTAGTGTGGTGAATGAGAACACGGGTGAGGGCAACCGAATTGTATTTACCGAAAATTACAGAGTTACTCAGTAAAATAGGAAAACCATATCGTAACCGTTAATTTGAAAATCTTCAATCCATCATCAATTCATTGTCTGACATTTCACTATTCATGCGTTTCATACAAATTCCATTGTGTTCCCACTCCTCCTTTCTTGATCTTCCCCCATCTTCTGCTGCCAGACATTACGTTGACGCTCACGTCATATATTACTTATAAGTAGCGCGCACCACAGTAGTAGTATTAGTGGTAACAGAAAATATTAGGCATGAAATATATCGTTTCACAAGAAAACATATATATTAACTGGGAACTCATTGGAGAACAGGAATAACTATTCAGTGGTTTCATTAGCTTAGTTACGAAGGAAATACTCACAGACAGAAGCATAATGACTAATCGACAAGGAATATAGTCTACAGATCTTCAGGTCTTGTTGTGAATGTGACAACTGAATTCAAAGATCCGTTTATATATATATATATATATATATATATCACAAGTTTGTCTTGCCAAACAAAGCGATCTAAATCGTGAGTTAAATTTTATGTTTTAGTGGATATGTATACTGATACTAATGAAGACCCATAAAGCAAGAAAAAACATTTGTTTAGCATGCTTTGATTTTCAATAATTCTACAATTTCTCTTAGCTTGCAATGAAATTTACAGATTTTTGAATTGAACTCATTCTCACAAATCAATCAAAGAAATGGTGAAAACCATAAAGCCTAAATATTGCGTAAATTAAATCAATTAAAATATTCATAGTGATTTACAATCATGAAGCATTTAGGAAATATTCAGTTAGTTTTTCTTTAGAAAAGCCTAGAACTATGATTGAAATCAATCTACTGATTTTTACATTAACAGCGAGTTAGGAAAATTTCGACAACGAAAATAAGAAAGTTTTATGAATCCTTTGAATGTTAAACTGATTCAGATAAGTGCAGACTATGGGGGATTGGCCCTTCATACAGTTATTGTAAATAATAATCAAGTTGTTGCCGTGATATTCGATTCGATGTAGGACTCACTACTTTGGTGGCCCGTTATTTGGTTCCATTATTCATGAACATTTAAATATGCCATGAAATAAATCTCCCCATCAGTTTCCGTATATTATACTTGGGCGAACCCCGTTTGAGCGACGGCGGTAATAAAAAAGCCAAATACGGATTCGATTGGATTGGTTTTATTTCAGACGATCGTTCATGCAGACATGATAACGAAAAGCATACAAGCAAAGTGAATCGGAAAAGGTGAGAGAACCAACTCGACTCGGTGAAGCACGACTAAGAATTTATGGTCAGACAAAAATAAGCCAGACATATAATAAGCGAGATAAGTGAGCACACACATGAATAAAAGCACCGAAGATATGAGCGAATGGCTGACAAGGTCAAAAGACAAGTGGGACCGGCCCTGTGAGCTAGACATGAAAGCACTCACTACAATTTACGTTTAGTGACACACCTCAGCTTCGTACATGAAAATGAATAAATATTATGTCAAACTCCTTGCACACTGAGTTTTTGTCTTTTTCATCATTGTCTTATTCTTGAATCCCATTGTGTATGTTTTTATGTTTTCCACGATTGCTACTAACTGATATTATTATTATTACTATTAGTTTTCCTTTCCTAACATTTCTCTTAACAATTTCATCATGTCTTTTTTGCTATTTATGGTGTGCAACTAGAACCAATGCAAATATGTGTTTATTGATTTGATAAATGATAGTGTTTACAAATTATACCAGTTACAGAAACAATTTGTAAATTAGCAAAATTAAAAGCAATCGTTTAAATATTTTTGTTTCACTAGTTTTTTTTTAAATATTTTAGATTAATTATAGGAAAATTATCATAATCTAAATTATACCACTGGTAGATTAGTTATTTTCTTTTAGAAAAAAAAACAAACAAACAAACTTTTACCCAACAGTTAAGCACTTAAAACATTAACTCAGATTCCGATTTCTGTATTTGACATTGAATCACATCACAAGTTTGAGAGGCTGGTAACAATTACAAACTGAGACAGGTGTGAGATTTGAACTGGTAACTTAATAGCTGAAAGTTAACTTCTTTTTATGCCCTAAGTCAAATCTCCAGGTTTCATAAGAAAATGTTAGTTAACAATGAGAAACAAATAGATTTTAACTTAAACAATAGATCAGAAGATATATATAATTAACAATTATTCAGTTAAAAGTTAATAATATCAGTAAGGCTAAGGACAATATATGTAATCAATAAAATAACAGAATTCCTACACTGGAACTTGACCGAACCAAATAAGATTATTATTATACAATTTCAATGAAAGGATATTTTCGTTGAATATTGAGTTGTGGAATTAAAAATTATCCAGTCCAAGTGATATCAAGAAGTTACGGAGTATCGAAAACACATTTTTGACAGTGAAACAAAGAGAAGCTTAAAATGAATGATTTAAAAATTGAAAAAAACGCGTTCAATTATCAATGTGTGTGTTACAAATCAACATATCTGTAAGAAAGATGTATATTATTCAAATGGAAATTGAAAATGAATCTAAGTAGACAATACATAACTTACCTTTACTTGGACTTGGTTCAATTAATGATGTATAAGTGACACCAGGAAATACTTGCACACCAAATAATAAAGCAACTTTTAACAAAATACACTGAAGTGTTCGTATACCTAAAGAAAATGAACGAGGAAGAAAAAAAAGAACATTTTGAAGATTTAAACGTTTATTAGATTGTTTTTTTTTTATAAATACATGTTCCAATCAATGACCTTCGTTTCCCGACCTCCTTCACTTTGAGATTTGATCTCTTCACTTTGATAGTATCACGAACTCTTAGACTGAAACATGTAGCTCTATGTTAAAAATACATGAAATCGTTACCGATAGGATATTAATTTGAATTATTTATAATTTGGTTAACATAAACAAGAATAATATTGTATCTGCGTAAACGATGTAATGTCAAATGAGTAATCCTTTGTAGTACCTAGATTTGTGTGCAAGTGTTAAGGTTAGTCCTATATAAGTTGGCCAATTTATATTTCAAACTAAACCTTGCTGTGTAAATCAAGAAACTAGCTTACCGAAATGCCAAATAATAAGAATAATAATCATATTTGACATTTGATGGGTTTGTATGCTAATTTTGAATTGTACATCAAGCATTCCCACCATATATGTAAATTCAAACATATTTAACAATGGCTTTCACAGTTCAAAAGTTAAATAACTAATTGATAGGTACAACACAATGCCAGAGATTTTTAAATTCAATCTAAAATTATCTCCACAACCCTATAATGGCTATCATCTATTGATTATACGCTTAAGAAACTTTATATATATGCAATTAGGTTGTAGTGAAGGAGAACACAGGTGAGGGTAACCGAAATTTTATTTAACGAAAATTACAGAGTTACTCAGTAAAATAGGAAAACCATATCGTAAACGGTTAATTTGCAAATCTTCAATCCATCATCAATTCATTGTCTGACATTTCACTATTCATGCGTTTCATACAAATTCCATTGTGTTTCCCACTCTTCCTTTCTTGATTTTCCCACATCTTCTGCTGCCAGACATTACGTTTGCACTTGCGTCATATACTACTTATAAGTAGCTCGCACCACACTCGTCCCCCCTTTTAATAAGCTGTCGTCGTAGTCTTTCTGATTGCCGTACCGTTGTCATCTTTGGTGCTTTTCGTGACTCATACACTTGATAATCTTGAAACCATCTCTGCAGTTGACTGGCATTTACACGCTTCTGTTTGTTTTCTCTCCGGATCGTGTACACCGCACCGCGTCTCTCCGTGATAACGTACGGTCCTTCACACTTTGGGATCAGCAAAATCAATGGTAACTCTTTCTCCAAATCTCCTCCTTTAGATGCTAACCATTCCTTTAACGTCCGGCTGTTTCTCTCTGTAAGCCCATTTATCTGCGGATGATACGGTGTAGTTCGAATCCTCTTGATGCTAAACTGCTTTAAACGGGCTTTAAACGTCACTTTCAAACAGGGACCCTGGTCAGTTAATAGCATTTTCGGTAATTCGTGACACGCTACAATATGTCGGATTACCACTTCGGTCATTGTTCTTGCCCGTTGGTCTGCAGTGGGTACGGCATCTATCCAACGTGTAGCGTTTACTAGTTCCCGCTGCTGATTCACGGCGGCAGGCACACTCTCGATAAATTGCGACGCCAACAACTGTGCCCCCGACTCCCAATCCATACTCGGCAGAGCACGGCGCAGCAACATCGTGAGCTCCACAGCCAGCACCAGTGGGTCACAATCGACAGACAACCTCGCCAACCGGAACCTCTGCGGCGCCTCCTCCCTGTCCACTGGGCCGACGAACTCCGTCACTATTCGCTCCGTGACCGTCTCCCACGCCGTCTTCCTGGCGGCACCGTCCAAGCTGTCGAGTAAAGCCTTTGCCTCACCTCCCCGAGGCGTCCCCAGCACCACCAACTTCGCCCTCGGCTCCTTCAACCCTACCAGCTCCGCCACGACCTCAAACTCCTTCGGCCATGGAATCTTCATCCTTTGTGTAGGCAGCGACATCAAATGTAGTGAAGGAGAACACAGGTGAGGGTAACCGAATTGTATTTAACGAAAATTACAGAGTTAATCAGTAAAATAGGAAAACCATATCGTAAACGGTTAATTTGCAAATCTTCAATCCATCATCAATTCATTGTCTGACATTTCACTATTCATGCGTTTCATACAAATTTCATTGTGTTCCCACATCTGCTGCTGCCAGACATTACGTTTACACTCGCGTGATATACTACTCATAAGTAGCGCGCACCACACGTGTACAGATAAATATGAAGTATTTAAAGTATGATAATTTAAATTGTATGAAACATTCTATTCTAATTATATAATAAATATGAGTCATTTACAAGATAACTTGATGATTTCATTAGTCAAATATTTGTTGTGCACGAAATGTAATTGATTTTAACAAAATAACAAACATAATACATGCACTAGTTAATGAGTATCAAAACAGGGACAAGCAACAGGTGTTTTGCATTTTATCGTAAATTTCTATGAAAAATGACTAAGATGAATAAAAATTAACGAAAAATAAAAGGAGCTGATCAATAAAAAGAAATCTATTGATGTTGGCGTTGACTTCGCCTAACTCAACTTGCATTATGACAATTAGAAAGGAAGAACAAACTGCTTTGATTAGTCACAATTAACCTGTATTTAAGCATTCGATTGTCTATGGATGATCAAGTTACATCGATTATTGCAGCTTAACTAATCAACTTTTATTTCAAGCAAACTAACAGCAATCGTGGTTCTCTACCTCTACCTTTGTCTTTCTAACCTTATCCCACTGAATTATACTTTTTGAATAATATCTTCAAACCCTAGTCTTCTTCATTACCTCTACTATCTATATAGCTATGGGATTTGATTTGACATTTGCGTCTCTGTGCTAGTGTGGTATGGCAACATGAACTTATGTACATACGTACGAAGTTCTATGTTGCATTTGACTGACTCTGACTGACAATACAAACGATGTATTTGCGGATTGAACAATTTATACAGTATTATTCCAAAGAAAAAAATTTGTTAACGAATGATAATATTCTTTCATGTATGTCAGTCTTTATCTATCAAATGAATTTATGTTGATATTTTCATCAGAAATAATATTTTATCAAAACTAGAAAAATTTACGAGGAATTTATTGAAAATTGCACAGAAATGCTATCAATATTTTTCAAATAGCAAAAATAAATCCACTTGAATGAAATAAAAACATGTTGAAATGAGTTCAAGCGTAAGCACAACAGACAAATATATAAATATATAGATATATTTATACACATACTACTGATACTGCCATGATGGAACATCATTTCAACTAAAACAATCCCATTTCTTTGATGACATATTTTCTTTGAAAAAAAAATCTATTTTTCTGACGAGATTAATTACTACTACTATTGAGTGATTGATAATTGGAAGTTTTGTAAGTTTATTTTATGAAACATAAGAATAATAATTAATATTCATTTATATTAACTAGCAAAAACAAAAACCAAATTTTATAAGCTGATAGTTTACAATTAGTAAACATACATAAATACATAAATACATACACGAACAGTAGAATAAATATATGCAAAGGATGAAATGCTCAAATTACACTAAGGTTTATGCATACGTGTCAATATGTACTCAATTTGATAATCATCGTTTATGATTTGAAAATTTAACGGGATAATAAAAATTTAGTGTGTTCAGTTGTCAATTCATTATGTACACCTTTATATTTGTAATTCAATTTTGATGATAGATTGCTTTCATTGTAATAGAATTAGTTTTCATCATTATTGAATAAAAAAAAATCTAACTAATTGAATGTGTATTCTGTTGATTAATTAATTACAGTTAAGAGAACAGGTATCAGATTGTTGTAAAGTATAATGATGAGCAAACTTGTAGATATCGAATTAAATACTATGCAAAACTCATTGATATTTAATTGGTAGAAGAATTAAAATTGATTCATATGAAAGAACTAAACATGAGGGACTATGAGTTATAAAAATTCTTGAGGTAACTTAAAGGTTCGTGATATGTCAAATCAGAGAACCGACTACACAAAGGATTCCTTCCATACTATTATGAATTATTTCTTCTAATAACTCCTGGATCAAATCACTTGACAAAGAAATTAATCTCAACACTTGCCTTTCTAGGGGCTTTTCTATGGTAAATTTATTATTTATATCACTTGGAATTCTAATTAGCTGAAAAGTGGTCTTACTTTGTCAAAGAATCGCGCCGAAGGTTGTCAGTAAACTATACTTTCACCATATAGATATTTTAAAAATCGAATATGATGAAACAAAATAAATGACAGGATCATAGGTTGAACACAGTAAAAAGTAATAAGATGAGATTAAAAATGTCAATTTTTCATACAATAGGTGATGATAGATACAAGTCTGTGTGTGTGCAACAAATAGAAACTTAAGTCAAAGTTATTAGATCGGAATTTTAAATACTACTAAATAAAATAACTCAAATGTAGAAATCGAACATAAAAATATAAACAATTAGGCCATGAGATATATAAAAGAGTTCAGATAAACAGATAATCGACAGAAAGAGAGTATGTAACAGGTCAACTGAAATATTTCTTTCCATTAAAAATTTATGTAGCGATTATTTTAATTGATAGAAGATTTGACACGGAATAATCTTAGTTTGGATATTGTTGTTTTAGAGGTAAGCTAAAATTATGTTTTTGAACTTGACTGACCATAAATTAAATTATTATTGATATCATTCAGATCAGAGAACGAAACACCACCGAAATCATTCACCTGAGCTACAAATTTTCCCCACCATTTCAATATCATTAACTTATGTTTAAAGCACAGTCACTCATAAGCTTATAATTACACTAATTTTGGAATTAAAACTTTTTTTCATAGTTCAAGCTTCTGGCTTCAATAGTAGTAAAAGCCTTAATAATTGATAGTGTTTAGAAATCGACTAGGAAGCTAGTGCGCCTAAAAATGTCCAGTCTACAAGACTTATAAATACATGGAACATTCGTATAATACACTTAGTCAGTCCATTATGAACAGAAAATAAGGGTTAAACCCAATAAATGCTTAACTTCATTTAACTCTTCAGAGTTCGATTGTTCTCTCAAATCTTAACCTTCTGAATTCCTCATCATTTTCATCTTTTCCGTTTAAGTTCATTTCACAAGATTCTGCTTCTTGAATAATATCCTCCAACCTTGATCTCTCCGATTACTACTAATACTTCTACTACCCCTACCAGACAGATACAACGCAGAACTTCGTATATAAGTACATCAGTTCAGGTTCCCATACCACGTCAGCACAGAGACGTAACTGTCAGTTCAAATCCAAGAGTGATAGCGATAGTAGAAGTATTAGTAGTAGTATAGAAGATTAGGGTTAGAAGATATGATTCGAAAAGTATAATTCAGTGAGATAAATTTAGAAAGAGAAAAATAGAGATTATGAGGAATTCAGAAGGTTAGAATTAAAAAGCACACAAAGAGTGGATGCACTTTCGCCATTGCGAACGATGTTGAGACATGTCGTTCTAGGTCTCTAACCATCACGTACTATCATCTCAAGGACACTAACCAGGTAGTCTACATCTACCAACATAACTCAGTCCACTTGTCAGTGACTTCATGGATTTCTGCCATGTTTTGGTCTGGCCGCCCTTAACTTTCTTCCAACATAGTCGTACACAACAAAACATAGCTCGTCGAGGCAGTCGGTGGTTAGCCATACGTAACACATGTCCACTATCTCTACCACTATAGGATTTGAAGTGACAATCGCAGCATCTCTGTGCTAATGTGGTATAGCAACTTGAACTGATGTACGTATGTACAAAGTTCTATGTTTTTGTTGACTAACTGACTAACTGATTCTATTTATTTTCTTTTAACACGTTGAATTTCATTTTAGTTGTGCATTGAAATAATTCATTCTCTTCATTCATTATTACTGTTTGCTTTTTTTTTCTAACTTTTGTTGAGTTTTTATTTACTTTGAACAATCTAATATGTGAAACGTGACAATTTAGACTAGTAAAAATTTGTTCTGCCATCTATGCTGTTTTATGTGTTAACTGCAAAAAACAGTAGAATGGTTAGATCACAACTACTGTGATGAAATAGAATATGTATAAAAGTGTAGAATTGTGGGGGGGGAGGGAGTAGTGAGAATAAGTTAACTACTACCCAATTTTATTATTGAACAAATGATACAGTGAAATCATGCGTATTAAATAACTATTCCGGTCATTTTGAATGCCAGTAAATTGAGTTACGTTGGTATATGCGGTCACTATATAGTAATAATAATAATAATAATAATAATAATAATAATAATATTTTTTTAGACTATGACTACATCAAACACTTCAAACAAAATAATGTTTGAACTGATGAACTAAACAGTAAACTAAAACTCATATTTATTAAAATTGAAAACTCATTACAACACTCTATAGGGTATCATAAGTATAAAGTATATGAACGTGAATTATTGAATGAGAATTATTGAACTGAGTAAAAAGTATTAGAACGGAGTTTTCCATTTTTTTAAATCGAATTATTAAGTAGTTGTACACGTTTCGAAAATTTCTCCAAAAAGACAATCAGAAACAACTATATCTTTACAAAACAAACTAAGTAATCTCTCTACAAAAGGTGAAATAATTAATGTAAACGAAAAATGAATTACAGATATGTACTTGTAATAGCACACATAAACAAACAAACAATATCGTTTTCAACTAAATTCAGCTATGTACCTCTTTATATATGAATATTTATACAAGTAAATAAAAAATATCAAACTAATAAACACAATAATCACAATTGAACAGATTGGATCACTACACATAATAGGAAAAAGTACAGTTGTGGTCAGTAATGTTTCGATCACATCTGAAGTGAGGAGAGTACCTATTGTAGAAAATAAAAGATGGTAATGCAATATCGTTTACTGATTGCAACTAGGACTTTCAAAGTGGTGGATACTCACGAAGTGATCTTGGGGTTAAGCGTTCGCGCGCAAGACCGAATTTCTGGGTTCCATTCTCGACCATAGATGTGAATTGCTGAGGAGTCCTATAGCACGGTGAAACGATCGTTCAGTGCTTCTAGGTTTTTAATCGTGATATCAATAAAATTTAACTATCTCCAATAAATAGTTCAACAGAGGAGATAGGTCAAACTTGGATGAATAGAAGTCAAAATAACGGTCACAAACAACTATTAAAATTACGTCATAAAACGTATGCAAATAATCAGACAGTGTAGAACGAAAAAGTATTCTGCCACATCGAACCCAACGAAGGAATAGACGGAGGCGCTACGAATTTCTTATGAACAGAACAGATAGAGTAAAGTTATATGTATGTATTTGTGGTACAGTTGTAGTGAAGGAGAACACAGGTGAGGGCAACCAAAATTGTATTTAACGAAAATTACAGAGTTACTCAGTAAAATAGGAAAACCATATCGTAACCGTTAATTTGCAAATCTTCAATCCATCATCAATTCATTGTCTGACATTTCACTATTCATGCGTTTCATACAAATTCCATTGTGTTTTCCACTCTTCCTTTCTTGATCTTCCCCCATCTTCTGTTGCCAGACATTACGTTTACACTCGGGTCATATACTACTTATAAGTAGCGCGCACCACACAGTGAGTTACATTGTTTTAATTAACATTAATCATGTCCATAAAAATGCATACATACATTCATCATCTTCACATTTTAACAGCAACTTATCACACCATTTACCGTAGGAGAAGGATTTATATGTTTACGAAGAGAAAACTATCATATATACATCAGTCGGTCAGTCAGCTACAACGTTGAAATTGGTAGGCATGTACATATGTTCGCCTTGCCCTACCACATTGCCACACAGAGATGGAATTGTCAATTCGAATCACAAAGTAGTAGAGGTAATCAAAAATATTAGGAGTCGAAGATATGACTCGAGAAGTATAATTCATGACATAAATTTTAAAAAATTAAAAAGGTTCTGGTGAATTCAGATCGGAACTCGAGAGTTGACAAGCAATGGATGCACCTACACCATTCTAAACGATCACAAGCCATATCATTCCAAATCTCTAACCACTGAATACGATGGTCTCGCGGACCCCAACCAGGTGGTCTATACCTACTAACATGGCTCAGTCCAATTATCATTGACCTCATGGACTGGTGCCATGTTTGGTTTGGCCGACCATAGCTTTCTTCCAGCCTACCTCTACATCAGACATCGTTCGATAGGGTAGTTGGTGGTTGGACTCACGTAACACATTGTTACGCTCGTCTCTAGGTATGCATAAACTATTACGAGTTCACCTTAGTCGAATAACGAGAACAAAACTATGAACCAGCGTCTAGATAGGCTACTGTGACCCCTTAACCAAATTGAATCAGCAAAAAGTCTTGATATAGTGTAGGAATTGTATTCTAAAAACACCAAGCCAGTAGAAAATTAATCCAAGCATTTAAATTGCGTTTATTTATACAGACGTCCTTGGGACAGTCACAAAAATAGCACACTAAAATGATACAGTAACTAATCACAGCCAAGGATTTTCCTGGTGGGGAACGTGATCTCAAGGTCAACTGATCGGTCCATGAAATAAATCCAAAGTAAAGATATTTATCAAGCGAGTTCTGGGGATCTGACATCCCCAACACCCGTATATATACATATATATATTATTTTAGTTGGTACTTCTGAGATAATCATTTATTTTGAATTGCATATTTAAAATAGTTTTTGTTAATTAAATCAGTGTTTAATGTTTGCTAACAGGTGGAATCTTCATTTTGAAGAAAAACTTTATTCAGTTACATATATAACATGAAAATCCTATTTAAGCTGAAGTAATTTGGGTTTTTGTGAAAAAGAAACAAAAATTTTAGGCAGTTTGATTCAAACATGAATTGAATTAACATAAAATACAAAGAAAGGGCTTGACCACTTTTTAGAAATTAATTTTTTCTATGTCAGTTAAAATGTTAGATTGTTAGGACATTCTACAATTATTGCGATACAAATTGTCCAATTTTTAGTTTCAGTAAATTTTATTCTGTTTCAATGAGTAAAATACCAGATTCGCACTGTGTATTTTTGAGTGATCAAACTTTACAGCCGTAAAACTGGTTTGCCGGTAAGAAGACAATTTGAGTGTCTGTAAAATTAAGTATTTTTAAGTATCAATACTTTACATCAAGGACGTATCTTGGTTAAACAAACATTCAAAACCATGAAACAAAGGATGATTATTTTGATCGATAATAGTAGTTTGTAGCAGCGCTGATACACACAAACTCACCGAAGATAGAACGCAAAACCTTCAGCTCCCGCAGTGAGCAATTTTACACGACTAAACCAGTTTACGTTGTCTAGCTTTAATCGATTCGAAGTATCGAGTGATCAAAGATAACACAGGCAAATGATATTCTGAAAGCTTTAAACGCTTTAACTAAAACTTTCTAACCTATTACGCAATAATGATTAGAACTGTAACACAATAAAACATGAAATATTCTATGGGAGACAGAGTTAACAGAATTACGTTTAACAAACTACCACATCCTATATCAACCAGGTAAGCAATAAGGTATCATTCTTAGAAGTTTGTACTGGAACAATGTTTTGAGGAGACAATGAAGGCTTTACAGCCACACAGCCAAAGGAACTCAACATCATGAAAATACTACTTACTTATTTGATAAATAAGTACTAAACTTTGAAGAACCCCCATTCAGAGAACATGACATTTTAAAGATTATTCAAAAACATCAGTGACAAGAGACATTAAAAAAAATGATACAACTGTAAATCATCACTTACTAATGTGATCAATCGAACCAGCACAAAATTTTCCAAAAAATGTTTTTGCTCCCAATGCTTTTAAATCTTCAATAAGATAAGGCCATAAATGTAGCACATTATTTCTAGAACAAAAAAAGAAAGTATACATAAACGACATTAAATGCAACTCATTAGCTAGGTAAGGATCTGTGTGTATGTGAATAATTTGGCTCCACATTATATTCATGTAAAGGAGGGATAACCCGACTGTTAAACTACAAGTAACCGATGGTATGTATTCCGATAAAACTATGAAATTATCATGAACAAGCGACTAAAGGAATAGTGTTACTTATATCAATACATGACAACTCATTGATGATTAGAACAGGATTGATGATAGAATAAACTTCAACTGAAGTTAGAATATTGTGTAGGATAAAACTATAAGGTTTAATAGTATATGGGTGAATACAGTTTACAGTTATAATTCCTAATACACCAGAACACAAGCTAGAAATCTTATATAATGTACAAAGTAACCAATGTTATTTGGATAGATAGACTATATATCAACATATAAACATTTAATACTATTCAATCTCATATAAAAACTATAAGATTTTGATAACATAAAATACTATAAGGAATACCATCAAGTGGATAGTTAGAAGAGCTGAAGTAATATTTTCATGCGTAAAAAAGATAAACTGATATTATGAAATTCAACTATACAGGTTATGTTAGATTAAATGAGATGATAATTTAAACGAAGTGATTGAACAATAGGTTATGCTTGAGAAAAATAAATCAGTTATCTAAATTCATTTTAACTAAGTTCAAGACAAAAAAAAGAGAATATTTTGTGTAGACATGTGTTTATTAATCCTTGTACATTTTTGATAATATTTACGACAGTACTCAAAGATTCTGATTAAAATCTAAAGAGCAAAACAGAACAATAATGAAATTCAGGTAGAAGGATACAGAATTTTAAATTATTAAATCAAAGTGGATATATAAATAATTAGTAGGAAATACAACGTACTTAGTGTGGAAAATAAACAAATGTAAAGTATGATGCTGGTGACTTAGTGGTTAAATTACTCAAATTTTAACTAATCAGCAATAAGTTCGAAACTTATTCAACTTCATTTGGTGTGAGCAAGCAACACGTGTTATATGCTGGTTCTCAAACAAAAAATACCAGTGTGGATTAAAATCAGGTAGGTACACAAATATACACGTGATACGTGAGCTGTGAATAAAAACACATTAAGTCAGCTGTAAAACACATGTTGACTACGAAATAAATAAAGCTAGAAAAATGATAGCATGGTGGTCATCAAACTTAAGTATTTGGGAATCGAATGCTGGAAAAGTGCATAATCTACAATAACGAGATAGTTTAATTAAATAATTAGTTTTCAAAAATTTTATACTGAGTATTCCATATTGATTATAGTTTTGGGAAAGCCAATAATAAACTTTCCTTAAGAATTCTGTTGAGAAAATAAAATCTTTAGATTAACATGCATGGCCAATTATATGAACAGCTTCCAACGATTTACACCATTTAGAATTATGCATTATATAATTGGAACGATTGGTTTGCAATTATTAAGTTACTATCGTTAGGAAACGGGTCCTAGGTAAGGATGGCAAATCAATAGATGAAGTAGTGGTTGAGGTGGTTGGGACATGTGTTACATATGCCTAACCACCGAATGCGTCGTTGAGCTATGATTCATGATGTAGGAATAGATTGGAAGAAAGATAGGGGCGGCCAGACTAAAACATGGCAGAAATCCATAAAGTCACTAACAAGTGGACTGAGTCATGTCGGTAGGTGTCGACTACCTGGTTGGGGCCCCGAGATGATAGTAATCGGTGGTTAGAGACCTTGAATCACATGGCTCCAAACCGTTTGTAATGGCATTCATTCATTGTGTTTTCTCAAATTCTCTTCTCCTGAGTTCCTCATCACCATTATCTTTTTCTGTCTAAGTTTAGTTGACTGGGATATACTTCTTGAGTAATACCTTTGAACCCTAATCTCATCGATTACTGATAATATTTCTACTACCCTTACTACTAGGGGATTTGAAGTGACAATTGAGTCTCTGTGCTAATGTGGTATGGCAACCTGAACTGATATACGTGCGTAAGAAGTCCTACGTTGTTGACTAACTGACTGAATTTGTAAGGTTCGAATCCTGCTCGACTAGTGAGGAGTTAAATTTACTGAGTGAAATTGTACTTTGTTACTGGATGAAATTAAAATAGAACGAACTACAAAACCAGCACTTTGATCACTTTCCTCCAACCTCACCAATAAAAAGATTTTATCGAAAAAAAATTCAAACCTAATTTTACATAACAACCTAGTCTTGAATAATACAAAATATCATCAAGATTTTTTTCTAATTATCATAAACAATATGCTGGTTGTCGATTCCATCACAGAATGGTTTTATCTAGTGGAATAGGGACGGTATAATTCATTTTTTATTCTTGGGAAACATGAGTTTCATTTTTCTTAAGAATCGTCAGCTAACTGGGTCTACTTGCATTCCAATGTTGGAATTTACAACACAACTCAAAACCATCTTTGTGATGAAGATGCATCAATTGTATTCATTTTTAAATGATAAATTGTAAAATTATTTTCTATTTTGCGAATTTATTTTTTCTTCTCGATTTATACCATGTGTGTCTGCTTAGTTTTTAATTACTATTAATCATCGTATTGTTAGTACTCATCTACTAATCTCTCAATTGTATTGATAATTTCAAATCATTGTTTTGATATGGTATGACAATAGACTGACTTATTACCAGCTAGTTTTTGGTAGAGTTGTTGACAAAACGATTAACAAAATATGTCTTCATATGTGATAGATAGTTTTTTTGGAAATAAAAATTTACATTCTCAAATAATTTGAACACGTTTATCAGATATGAAACAATCAATATTTTATTTTCATATTAAAAAAATCGTGATTTATTTATGTTCCTAGTGGAATTTGTATTGATAATATCATTTTATTTTCCATAAAGTTTAGATTAAGTGTAAATAATATTAATATTGAGATGTAATTATATGAGTACATAACGAATATGTAATTTAACAGAAGAAATGATCAAATATATACATTAATCAGGCTACGTGTACATAAGTTACAAATATTTTGTGAGTGTGTAGTAAAATCCTGCAACAAAACAAGTTGATCTCGTGTACTATTCGGGATATGAGAGCAGATATCACTTACCAGTTGCCTAATCCATCCAAGGGTATTTCTTCTTGAAAAACATGGAAAGTTGAGTTAGCGATCTGGTAGGCGTGATCGTAGAGCCCAACGGACAACTGCTTTCGACCAGGTCACGCATAGACTTTCTGTGAGACGTTGTTAACATATTGGCTCTACTCTTTAAAAAGCCTTATTGCCAGAAACAGAAATACATGGGGTAAGGTGAGTCAGTCAGTTACAAAGTAGAACTTCGTACGTGCGTACAATAAGTTCAGGTTGACATAACGCATTAGCACAGAGACGCAACTGTCAGTTCAAATATCATAGTGGTGGAGATAGTACAAGTATTAGAGATTATGGAGAAGGTGTGACATTGTATTTTATTTAGGTGATAATAAGCCGGTGTTATTTATCATCAATATTGAAATAAACATTAGTTTTGATGAAGAAATAATACTAATACTAATACTACTACTACTACTAATAATAATAATAATAATAATAATGATAATAAACAGGAAAAATAACACAATATTATTACTTTTGAAAAATGTCATAGAGAAAAAGAAACAAACAAGAAATAATGCCTAAAATAAAACAATATACAATCTAGGCGTTAAGCTATTAAACACTGCTATTAAGAAGATCGAATTACCTAATTTATTTATTGAATAGATTAACTAACTATTTTAGGAAGACGTTTGTTGCAACATGAACATGAACACATACCAAACTAATAATAGTAATCACATGATGCGAAAATTACCAGATTTGTAAGCAAATGATCTATTCTTATATATATATTTTTGAAAAAACTACATTATTCCTCAAAGAATACTATTTTCAAATGTCACTTTTATGATGATTTGTTTTAATGATGCAATTGTTTTTTTTCTTAAAACAGATTTACTTTTGACACTTTTTTTTGTGAACACTCATTAGTGTTTAGTTCAATGTTGAAGAAACAATATTCTCAAAGTATATTTTCTTTTAAAAAAAATAGTAATATCATTAGAACACTATATGAGGAAAAAAACAAACTATTAAATGATGATTAATTTACACCATTAACTAACTAGGAGTTCATTGTAAAATAAAACAACAACAAGTGAATAGAGAGAACTAACTGCTAAGAACAATTTGAAATTAAAATTAAAATTAGATAGATTAAATTACAAGTTGAATGAATTAATTGCACGATAACATAAATATTTTAGGAAAGATCTAAGATCATTCATAATACTGCTTTATATTTTATTTGATAGGAAAAATTAAATAATCATTTTTATAAATTGTCTGAATTAATCCTATGTATTTTTAATAATATATATATACGATATATTAGGGTTTTTAAGAAACTGTCTACTTAATTATTTTCGAAATAATTTCAGAGAATTATAAATTGTTATGAACACAAAAGAATTTCTAAGGAAATTAATAAAAACTTTATTTGTTTGAAGTAAAATGTTTCCTCTCCTTGTTATTTGTGCTGACTGTAGAACTGAAGTAAAGATAGAATCGAGGCAAAAAGTATTGTTAATTATAAAAAAATGTTTTATCGGTCAGAGAAATCAATTTCAAATCATTATGTTGTAAGGCATTAACAACATAATTCATTTATTTCCGTTTGAGTAACTGGTTATTAGTATCATAATAACCAATCGTACGAAAAAAAAATTGAGCAAAAAAAAAGCATCAAGTTTTTGACGGCTCCTTGAATTTAATCTCAGGCAAGAGGTCATATGTAAATGCACTACTATGCATGAATTCTCCAAACAAGAATGAAATAGTTATGATGATGGTAATCATAATTAACAAGTTAAGTATGAGTTTCTGGTGAAAATAACATTAAAATTACACAGGATTTTTGACACAAAACCATTGAACTTAAT